CTAATTCCATTTTGTAGTAAATAGTCTCTTTATCCTATTTTCCTCATTCTTTGTTTTCTCATCTTCCTTCCTCCATTCTGCCTTCCCTCCTTTTCTTCCTTAATTTTCCTCTTCCTCTTTCCTTTCTCCCTTCTTTATGTCCTCTTATCACTAAAGTTGCTTTAATGTTCAGATAAAATGAGATCTTAACAAAAAAAGAGTGATTATCAAGCGCCCCATTAGACATTTCCTTGTTTTTAGCTCTTTACCTTGACCCTCCTTTCATTTGGGGGCTGGCACTGACAGGCCTAGGGGCATAGCATCCCCAGCTGTGATGGCCTCAGTCTCCATTGACTGACTCATGCCTTGGGGCAATACTAAGGCACAATTTGGGAAAAGAAAGATCCTATATAATAAAAGCCCAGTGAACGAATGGCAGAATGACCAGATGACCAGTCGACCAGTCACTGTGATGCACACTGACCACCAGGGGGCAGACGCTCAAGTCAGGAGCTGCCCCCTGGTGGTCAGTGTGCTCCCACAGGGGGAGTGCTGCTCAGCCAGAAGCTGGGCTCACAGCTCATGGCTGGCGAGTGCAGAGGCAGTGACAGTAGCCTCTCCTGCATTTGCGGCAGCCTAAACCATCAGTTGGACATCCCCAAGGGCTCCCAGATTGCGAGAGTGCACAGGTTGGGCTGAGAGACCATGCCCCCCTCCTCCCCCCCTCCCCCCAGTGCATGAATCTCATGCACTGGGCCTCTAATATAAAGATATAAGCAAACAAACTGAGATTCAGGGATATATGCCACAACTTAGAGGCCAGCTCTACCTCTCAAACACCACAGGTCCAATTGTGGATGCACTATTCTTCAAACATCTATTAAGCACCTGCTGTATTGCAGTCATTACCTAAGGAGCTATTTCATGATAAGAAAGGTCTCAAAGAAGTTTGAGAGACACTTAAAATCCAAAGACAGGGGATGAGAAGTTAGGTAATCTAACCAAGAATAGACTAAGACTGGGCTAAGAGCAATACTTAATAATGATGATAATGATGATGATAATAATAATAATAATAATAATAACAACAATACCATCTACTGAATGCCAGAAGCTATGTAGGACATCCTGTTTAATTTTATTTCACTGTAAGGCAACAATCCAAGTGACTCAGGTTTTTCAGTATTAAACAATTTCCTCATTTTGTTCAGTGAGAGTCCCTTGAGCCAAATCTGTCTGGTGAACAAACGCACAGTATGGATTCAGATGAGATCATCACCTAGTTTGTAGCTTCAAGTGCATTTAGAATTTAATTTCTGAATTTAAATTCCACCTAATAATTAACTCTTTCTTTGCCCTTCCTATTATTCTTTTAACACTCCCCTAGATGTGTGGGAGACAGAGCTTTAGGCTCAGGAAGGCTGCTGCATGGTACAACTCGAGTATCTCTCATCAGAGAATGGGGACACAGGCATTTTCCCTTGAAGACCAAACTGTTATGCTGCATAGTTTGATAGGTAGTTATTGAACAATTTCTAGTGTCAGTAACACAAAGGACACTGAGGATATAAAATTGGTGAGGAAAGCATTATAAAAAATTTTTTTAAATTAATTTTTCATTAAAGTTGAATATTTTCAGAAGTTGGTACAACAGGGGAGTTGTGAGATACTACTAAGGCTTTGATGGATAAACGATTAAAATAAATACAAAAAAGACAAAATTTGATTTCTGTAGAATCGCCTCAAAATAGAAATACTTGAGGTCAATATTCTTAGAAAGGGACAAAAGGCCAAAGAAACTAATGATGGGTTGTCTGACGGTAAAATAAACTCATGATGATTGAGCTAAAAATTATAAGATAGACACTATTGTTTACATTGCACTTAACAATTGCCAGACACTAGACTATGCCGTATAATAGGCATCTGATTTCTCACCACAAATCCAGAAAGTAAGTATTGCAAGTCCATTTTATAGAAGATAGCTTGAGGTTCTGAAAAGTTAAACAACTTTCCTAAAATTTTCCAACAGTCTGATTTCCAACCCAGGTATCTGTTTTTCAGGCCAGTGTAAAGGTGTAGGAGAAAGAGCTTGGAAAGGAAGTAGAGTTTGGGGTAAGGAGAGTGTGGAGGGGCTCTCTGGGAATGCCCAGGGAGCTGGTCAGCCAACACACCCCTAGACTTGCCCGGAGGTCTGGGGGACATGATGTAGAAATGTCCATCCATAAGTAGTCATGGGCAGACTGGTTCCTAGGTGCTTATCAAGACATCAGACCATGGACAGCTTGGCAAATTCAGCTATTGTAACCACACAGCTCTGACAGTGCTCACCACACTATAGTTGTTTTCCTGCATTGATTTGCCCCCTGGGAAGGAACTTGCAACTTGAGTATATGTATTTAATACTTAAGCAGAGCCACAGAGCATGGGTATATGGGTCAGAATGCCAGAGTGAGACAGCACCCCAGGGTCACATCTACGCAGAGTGCCTGGATGAAATCAGCCTTCTGAATCTGCAAAGCTGATGACTGAATGTGGGTCCTTGAGGACTCCACAAAGGCAGGAGCCTCTCAGAGGTTGAGGTTGAGCCAGGCTGTTTGCTACTTTTCATCTTTATCTGACACCAAATTTAACTGAGACCTACCACAAGGAAGGCTGTGCCCTCAAACACATGGATATTCAATTTCCATATTGTTTCCAGACCTTTTGGGTCACCTTAGTTTTTATGGCAGATGTTTATATAGAGTGCCCCTTAAGGATGGATCATTTCTCATGCGTAGGTTCTTGGGAAACTGTGTTTTAATTCACGTCACCAATAAACCACAAAATCCAAACTCACAGACATATTGCTTATGGTGTGTCTGGGAGTCCTAGAATGCTAGTTAGTTTCAAAGAAAGTGCAATGAGCAGAAACTTGGGATTTTGTGGACGTGGCTCTTCTTTCTGGCTTTCCTTCTCATTCACTGTGTGAAATGGACAATGCATGGAGTCTCTCTGACCCTCAGTATCCTCTTCTATAGAGTGAGAATAATCATGCCTACTTAGAAAATGAGAGGCATTGAGTATTCATTGTCCAGCACATATCAGGCACTCAAATGACAACCTACTTGTCATTGCTATTTGGAGGACTTGATTAAAATTAAGCTGAGTCATCGTAACTGGTTTGGGTCAGTGGGTAGAGTGTCGGCCTGTGGACTGAAGGGTCCCAGGTTCAATGCCGGGCAAGGGCATGTACCTTGGTTGTTGGCACATCCCCAGTAAGGGGTGTGCAGGAGACAGCTGATCAATATTTCTCTCTTATCAATGTTTCTAACTCTCTATTCCTCTCCCTTTCTCTCTGTAAAAATCAATAAAATATATTTTTAAAAAAGCCGAGTCATCATGGTGATAATTCTCAATGTATTCTGTCCACAGAACTACAAACAAATAAACAAACAAAAAAACTCAAACCCATAAAAATATTTCCATGATGGTTGCTCTCCAAAATGTTTTTTTTAAAAAAATTATTATTAAGTACTTATATTTGACCAATATAACCTGATGTGTCTCAGTCTTATTGATAACTTATTTTGCAAAATAACTAAATTTTGGCTCAATCTGTTAAAAAATCTTAAGTATAATTTAGATTCAAATACTTACCTCTGCTTAATAACTTAACCCCTCTGACCATTCTGTCTCTTCGATGCCAGAAGGGGTAGGCCTAGCCTGGAGCAGTTCTCCAGAACTCAGGTTGTGGTAGACCTTGGCAAGTGCCGGTACTGGTGGGTATGACTGCTTTATGTGGCAATGTTCCCAAAGAGATCCTTCTAGATCCAGCTTAGCTGCTCACTGTGTGACCTTGGCAACAACATGGCATAGCTACCATTCATCCACTTCCTCAGGGTCTCTTCCTCGTCAGGCACTCCCTGTGCATACAGACACTGTACTCACTCTGAACCCACCAAATGGGTCATTCTACCCAGTTCCAAGTTTCAGCACCTGCCTGTCCCTCTCCCCGCTTCCCCAATACCAGCCAAAGCTCAGAGAGGTTTCAGCCACTTCACCAGACACACAGTTAACTCATACACTTCATCCGTACCCAGTTTTTACTGGTCTCAAAGCCTTCTCTCTTTCCATTTCTCCATGCTGTCTTTCTATCCTCAACTGGTCTGAGCCTCACTTTCAACATCTTCCAAATGACCTGATAGTGCCCTGCCAACCTCATTTAAGTTGTTAATATCATCAAATGAGAAACTGTGTCTAAAGGCTCTGTAGACTCTACAAGGCTGCATAGCTGTGGTATATGACTACTCTCTAATGAGATCATGAAAAAAAATACTCATACACTTGCCTGTATTAACAAATTCCATGCAGAGGATGGGCATATAAAGTATAGATACTTTGATGACATGCCTTCTCTTTTCTATCTCATTGTAGTTTACCATCTCCAAGAAACACCTGGTGCAGATGACTCCTGGTACCCTTGGAGGTGGGCATGTTACCCCAACTTCACTCACACTTGGGCTCTCATCCCTGTGGGTGAAAGCATGCTCTGCCCCATTCTAAAGTTACATCGAGGCAGAAAGAAAGCCTTTTCAATTTAGACAAGTTAAAAAAAAAAATCCCCATATAGCCACAAGAGCTCCTTGAGCCAACATCTACTTTCAATGACCTACTTTGAGTCAAGGCTGCCTTTCTAGGGGGCTGTCCTAATAGAGGTCAGCCGAGAAAGTCAGCCACCAGCCTGGCCTTCAGGCTTTTGTAGCAAACAGTCAGGGGTCCCAGCTCCAGAAGGAGAAGGTTGAAAACAGTTAGTCTTTTAATGTTTTATGGGGAGATATCTTGAGTCTTCCAACAGAATGAAGGCATTTCTAAAAACTGAGTAAAGAGAGCTGGTCTTTTTAATGCTGTTCGATGCTTTATGGAAGGCACAGCGTTCCCCGCTAGCAAAACCCCTTTGCTTGGTGTCAGCTCTTGCCTAATGATCGCAGATGACAGGAGGTGACCACTCGGATAGAGCTGGCTTACTTATCATAGTTTACCTGAGCAGCGCGGGGAGTGCGAAAGGCCCCAGGCTGAGATGTTGGTCTCCTGCGCAGGAGTCTGAGGGGACATCTCGGAGGCTGCAGGAGCTGGTGATCCGTGAGGCCGTGGGTAGAATTATTCTCAATGCTAAGCCGTGTCCTTCGGCAGGAGGCTCCTCCCTGGCCTGTTTTAGGCTTGGTTTCCTGTGAAATTCAGCCACAGACCTTCAGCGGTGTGACCTATGCTTGATGGGACTTCCTCTTCTTGAGTTGAAAGGTAGTAAATGAAGTCCTAGGAGGCCGAGAGCTCCGTGTTCAAGGGGTGTCCTTAAAGACACACAGCATCCTTATGGTGCACTTCATAATTTCTAGAACACTCTAAAACAGATTGCTGAGTAACATTCATACAGAAAAGGTGGGTTTCGCTAGACCCAGTTCTCATGCACACATAATGCTAATATCTTTGGGACTTGATGTTGCCAATGGTTTCCTGGGTCCCCCCCACCCCCCAAGACACATGGACCAGATCCATCAGGTGTTATGAGGAGAACCTGGGGTTCCTGTTGTATTAATTCTTAGTTATGTGATCTTGGGCAAGTTTTGATTTATTTTTCAACTAGTTTCCATTCCGTGATCAAGGGGAAGTCATATTTATATTTTAGACATGTTCCAAGAAATGAACAACATACTGTAAATAAAGACATGCTGCAATGTTTGGAGCGTCTATTAGGTGCTCAGTGCTTTTTAATTTCTTTATGCCTTCACCTTGGTTCATTTAAGGTGGCACAAGTTCCTGCAGGTGCTTGATGTCCTCTCGGGTCCTCACCACTCGCCACTCTAGTTTTACATAAACTGATCTTGAATTCCGTAATGTACCCTAACTTAACCGATTCATTTATCACCTTCACAAAAGAGGGTGATGCCGCTCACTTTTTAGCATTTTTCAGTGCATGAAATGCTAAAATGGTCTTGCAAACACAGATAGGTAAGAAGATATGGGTGTAACGACAGGTTAACTACCTGGAACCCACTCAAATAGATCTTCAAATATTTTTTTCAACTTTTATGAATTTAATGCACAGAAGGAGAAACTGGAGTTTTTATCTGTTCTTCAAAAATTATCTTCTTATTTTTAAATGTTTTATTTTGAAATAATTATAGACTCACAAGAAATGGCCAAAAATAGTCTAGAGAGATCCCCCAGAGAATCTGTTGTCTCATGAATAAACTTTCTAGCAGAAACAGATATATTTTTTTAAATTCATCCCTCTCTCTAAAAGTGTTGGAGAAGAGAGAGAGAGAGAGAGAGAGAGAGAGAGAGAGAGAGAAAGAGAGAGAGAGAGAGAGATCTCTAAAACTGAGAATGTGTTGGAGGAGAGAGAGAAAAGAGAGATGGCAAAGCTTGACCCAGCTTCACCACTTTCCTGCTCTTCTTGCTCTTTCTTCAGTTTTCTTTTGAAATTTTTAAAACAAAACTAATGCAGGTAATAAAATTGCTGCTCTTAGGAAGCATTGTGATGAGGTGTGGTGTTAGGATTCTCTTTTCAGTGGTGGTGATGGTCAAGTTCAGGCTCACATCGCACACCTGGTCTTGGGACGGTATCAAGACCTGGAGTTGCACTGGTCAACGTACACATGTTCACACCCCCAAACACAAGCAATACTGTTCACCATCTCAGCAGTTGTGCTGTCTGTTTTAGCACCAGCATTTCTGATTGATTATAGGTTAGCACCTGTTCCTATTGGTGCCCAAGGCAGAGTGATTTCAGCCCCCTGAGAGGGGCTCACCTTACACCATTGCCTTTTCCTTCTCCTTTGTCTCACACCTCCTTCAGGAAACACATCTGAGCCTCCCCAGTCAGCTGTAGTCTCCTGCCTCAGACCAGCACTTTTCCATCAGAAAGGGGAATCTTGGCATGAGTTGAAGTTGTATCCTCTGCTGGATTTCAGATGTGCTCAATTTCAGCTGAGTGCCTGCTGAGCCTCGGACATATTCATGCCTGCTGAGAAGTAGCCTCCTGGAGAAATCTAACATATGTTGCTGAGTAACATTCATACAGAAAAGATGGACATTTAAACACACCTGGTCACATAGGGGGAACAATAGCAGGTGGGGCTCTTCCCATACAGGTCCATTCTCTCCAGAAAGGATCTTCAAGGACCTCTCACATCTTGACTCAACTCCCCTAATACACCCTACAGCAAGCCCAACCCCAACATACAGCTCATAGGGCAGAGGTAAGGTGCCATCCTGAGCCTAACATGGCTCCTGGTTGTGGGCATATGTCCTGGCCTAGCTTTGTTGCATTCATACTAAGTTCTTTGGGAATCACAGAGGTGGAGGTGATAGGTAAATGCAGGCAGAGCTTTCCCCTACGATTTCTGCTCAGCATGCTTGGATTCCTTTAATTCTTTACTCACAGAAATGATAGCTGGTTCACCAATGAATGCATATCCCTTAAACACGAGCTCATTGCTTTGCTCACACTTTTCCCCCAGAAGGGGCTTGGAGATTAATATTAATTAAGTTCTCTGTGTATGCTAGACGTTATTCCAGGCACTTTGCAGGAGTGTATAATCTAATCACCACATAGGGCTTCCCAGCTGGTGTCATCGTTACTATTGCCCATTGGAGAAAGCAGAGTCCCAGTCACCAAGCTCTCACCACACTGGTGATAGATGACAAGGACCCAGCCAGGTGCATGTCTGGGGGAAGAGGATGCTGGGTAGTGGTAATCCCATGAGAGGGTCCTGAGAAAGGGATGGACTTTGGGGGCATATAGACCTTACCAAAGTACAGATTCCTCCAGGGTGGCTGAAGTTATTTCTCATTTTGGAATTCATTGTGATCCCAAGAACAGCTGGTGCAGCACCCAGCAATAGGTAGGCTGCATTGGCCTAAAGTGAAGTGAGCGAACACCATGCTGAGTTGAGGGAAGAACCAAGACTGATGCCCAAGTTCCAGGCTCTTAGCCAGTTCTCTTTCAGACCAGCATGGCTTGCATCTCTGTATTCTGCATTTAAATTGCAGCTGACGTTAGCCATTTCTCTTGAGCAGAGCCTTGTTTAGACAAACCTGGCCAGAAATGTGACATCACACACACACACACACACACACACACACACACACACACACACACACATCTGCTATCAGTTGTTTGCCAACCATTTTTCCCCCCGGAGGTTAATAACACTGTGTAATATTTTTAAATCATGTGGACAAAATCACTCCCTCTCTATGCAGGGGCTGAATCCTTGCCAGGGTTGCTAAATTGACAGGGCAAAGGACCCCACACCATCTGTCCTATCGTGGGTAGAATGTAGGTCTTGAAGTGAAAATCAGATTAAGAAAAAACACATCCAGCACCAATGGCACTAAGGATTCCCTGATTAACAAATAATCAGCGAAGGAGAGAGTGGGACAGGCAGGACTCAGAACAGAAGAGGAGAGAAACCAAATTTAGCGCCTAAAATGGAACAGGGCCCTGCCTTTAAACTTCTCTCTTTCATTCTCTCTTTCTCTTTCTCTTTTTAATTTTTTTTTTATTTTCAAGGAGGAAGAAGAAAACCAAAATGATTTTCACCCCCTTTAAGGCAAATAGGAATAATAATAGTATAGGTAGAGCCACTTAATTTTCAGGCTCTTTTCCTGAACTTTGTTTTTCTTCATTTGCTCTGAGTCTGTAATGTACCAACCTCTCAGCATAGTTGTTGAGACTCATACAAATCAAGTTTCAAGTCTTGTCTGGATCTGCAGCTGATGGATCACTGAGCAAGAACACACTTGGCTCTCTACTCTTCAGGCACCTGCCCCGGTCAGTTGGTTTTTTATCCTTCAAATACTCTCCTGATCCCCAGGCCTTTAGACTCATTTGGAATAAAACATTGACTCTCTGAGTCTCTTTATACTTGACAGGTGACTTTAGGGCTTTTCTTAGCCTTCCTAATCATGTGAGCTAATTCCTTACCTTCCTTCCTTCCTTCCTTCCTTCCTTCCTTCCTTCCTTCCTTCCTTCCTTCCTTCCTTCCTTCCTTATGTCATCTATCTATCTTAGAAGAACCTTGACTAATATACTCATGTAGAAAGTATTTAAATTGCAATAGGGATTAGAGAAGGTGTCTAGTTATGAAATTTAAGGCATGAGAAGGAGGCAAAGGTACTGCCTTTGGGGGTTGAAAATGAGAATCACAATGATGATTAAATGGGATGGCCTATGTGATGCATCCGACATCACAACTATTCTGTAAATGCTGTGAGAGTGATGTAATGCTGCTGCAGGAAACTGAGGTTGTTGTGGTTAAACAGGATTTCTAACGTGAGGAGCTCCAAACCTGTCTCACGCTAAGCCTGTCTAACTCCAAAGTCAAATAGATGTCCATGGTGACTTTACAGAGACCCTGGCACTTTCCATTATTTTGCACTAGAGACTTAGATGGGTTCCCATAGTGCTTCACAGTCTATAAAAATTTAGCACTCATTACCTCATTCAAACCTCCGAGTCTGTCTTGTGATGGAGGCACTATTTTTAATTTTACAAGTAAGGAAGCTGGAGACTCAGAGAAGTGAAGAGGGGTGTTAATCACAGGCTTGAGCGCAGTGTGTGCGCTGCAGTTTGGGCCTCCTGATACCGAGGCATGGGTCCTGTCCTTCACTCAGTAGCATTGGCTCTTAATGGAGTTTAGGTTCTTACATGAGCTGGGAAGGCACCAAACATGGGTGAGGAAAATTACCTAAAAAAGAAATCTCTGGTGTTCATAAAGGAAAAGAAACAGCGCTTTGTGTCATGGATGGCAAATAGAAATATGCAGGTGCCATTGCAGACAGTATACAATGATGTATGTACAACTACATGCTTTGTATTTGGAAATTAAATCCTTCAACTGTGTTGCTACAAACACTTGAGCAAATTTGGATGGTTGCCACTTGCTAGAAAATGGCTATCACCATCTGCGTCTGTTAAAGTTTTCACTGGCTCTGACCTTTGCTTTGTCAGAATTTCTCCAAGCCTTCCATTTCATTTCTTCTATAAAGACATCCATGGGGCTATCACTGTCCAATTTTCCTGGCCACGAGTAAGACATATTTGTTTCATTTCTTTGTCAATATTTTGACAAGGAAGTGCTTCACACATGCCAGAAATGTTGCAAGCAGACCTTATATATGTCAGGTTCAGTTGCATGCATTGCCTGTGGTTAGAACCTGAAGTCTCC